ATAATAATAATAATAATAATAATAATTATCATTATTATTATTATTAGCATTAGCATTATTATCATTATTATTATTTTCATTGTTATTTTTATCATAATAATTATTGTTTTTATTATTATTACTGGTATTATCATTATTGTTGTTGTTGTTATTGTTATTATCATTAACATTATTACTATTATTATTATTATTACTATTATCATCATTATCAATACTGACATTAATGTTTTTGTTCTTGGTGATGGCATAATTATCATTATTACTATCGTTATCATTATCATTATTATTGTCATTATCATTATCATTAGTCGTAGTAGTATCATCATTGTTATTACTGTTAGCATCACTATATCATCTAAGCTTTATCTCAAATAGGCATAGGTGTTCATGAAAAAGAGCTTCTGTCTTTGTAAAGTGCGGTGAATGCGCTGGGAAGGTTTTTGCTTCGAATGTGGTTATCCAAGGAATCAGGCGACCCATCCACACAAAGGCGTTAGATGCATCGATGATATAAATAGAATATATAGAACAACAAAGGGAATAGTAAGAAAATAAGTCAACGAAGGGGAAAGAAAGAAAGCATGCGAATATATCAGGCTTTTTTTGCCTGATATATCTACCGGCCATGAAAAAAAAAAAAAAAAAAAAAAACAGTGCATCGAAAGGGCCTTCAGTATGTACCTGTTTTGTCTCGCTCTTCCCGTGGTGGTGAAGAAACTCCTATCTTAGTCTGAGGGAAAGCCAGAGCTCAGGCCGCTTAGGTTAGGAAGATTCCAGCAGCGGAGTTCCCCAGACCACAAACCTAGATCACGAAGGAGGTTTTGTTGAATGAGACAAAGCTCCTGTCTTTAGAGTGAAGGCGCATCCAGTTCCGTGTCCTTGTGGCCCGCAGCCGGAGACGAGATAAAGGAACCGCGAGAGAGTATTTTAGGCGCCATGACGGGAAACTCGGCACTCTGTTTCCGCAATTCCTTATCACAATCGCCTTATCCCCTAAATTTTGTGGAGATTTCCCCTCGCGATCGCTGATAACAGAAGTTTAAAGAGATAACGGTTCCCACATCATTACAGAGGCCCGTAGACGCACGCGGCTCCTCATCCTCGACGTAAGCCCGCACCGGAAACGGACAGAGATAAAGCGACAGAGTGCATGTTAGAGAATGACACCACCAGACATTACGACAGTGCCAGTGTGGACAGACCGATCTCTGGCACTGCTCGGGAAATGTCAGTCTTCGAGGGTGGGGAATCGACGCTACTGTTCCCGTAGTTGAATAGAGAAAAGGGGGGATATTAAAAAGAGAAAGAGGACTATCTACCAACGGCGGGGAAGTGGATGCATCGTTCTGTCTCCCGCCCACACCGGAGGGCGAGCATGCCGAGTGGAGAACAAGTGTAAGACTTCGCCGAGACAGTATGTGTTCCTCGCCAAGACGTTCCCCCGTGACCCCCACCTCTCGAACCTCCGTCCTCCCTCATCATCTCCTTCTGCTGCTCCTCCTTCTGTGCACGCGAGCCTCCTCCTCACCCAGCCCAGGGCCACCGACGTCGCCCTTGCCTCACGAAAGGCCCTGGGGGGAAGAACACCTCGGGGGCGGAGACGCGACAGTTTCTTCTGACGGAGATGAGGGGGGCCGCGTCTTCTCTCAAGGTGTCGGAGTACGGAGTTCTGGTGAGTCAGTTATTCATTTCTTTATTTCTTCATTTCTATTTGCTTATTTATTCTTTTAAAGGAAAGAATAATACGTTGTTCAAGGAATTGGTGAATAGTTACGTACAAGCATAGTAATGTTTCGAATGTAAATAGACTGTATAGCATAATTTACTGTGTAATACACCACCCACTGCATGGCAATGTATTGTATATGATTAATCTATTTTAACATCTAATCTAATATATAATCTACTTTTTTGTGCAATATACTGTGTAGTATACCTACCGCATGACTTTACCTATTGAATGATATAAACTGTTATATGTAGTAGCACTAAAATGCATCACATCATAGTTAGTAATAGAGAAGAGAAAGTCTACTTATGAATTTAACATAATCATATGAATAAACAAAAAATTGATATTGATCTATAAGATGTACACAAACACACACACACGCACACGCACACACGCACACATACGCACATACACACACAGACACATAAACACATACACACATACACACACAGACACACACACACATATACATATACATAGATATCCACAAACACTAAATCGATTATGACACATAACTACTAAGAAAACCAAAAGAAATAACGACACCAATAATAAAAGAAAGCGCATGACACAGCAAAACAAACAAAGACAACAAAGTCCATAGGTAAACAGGATCAGATTCCCTTAATGGAGATAATGAAATTTCATAAATCGATTCTGACATATAATTATAAACAAAACCAAAAAAATATAACGACAACAACAATAATAATAACAATAAAACGCATGAAACAACAAAACAAGCAAAGACAACAAAGTCCATAGGTA